TTGCAGGGTTTAGATCTTTATAGTAATCTAGAGTTATGTAAGTCAATATATGCACTATCAGATAGTATGAAGTCATTATGATTTCTACCAGTCACTGTTTTTATTCTTGCTCTTTCTTTTTCTTTTTTATTCTTCTCTCATATATTACATACTGACTGCAGTTTTCCCTCCCTCCTCTCCTCCAAGCCACCACTCCCATCTTCTCTCCCCCAGATCCACTCTTTTCCTTTCAGAAAATGGCAGACCCTCTAGGGATATCAACTAAACATGGCATATCAAGTTATAATAAATCTAGGGACATTTCCTCATATCAAGGCTGAATGAGACAATCCAGTAAGAGGAAAGGGAGTTCAAAAGCAGGAAAAAGTTAGCAACAGTGGCTGCTTCCACTGTTAGGAATTCTACAGGAACACAAAGTTACACAACCATAACATGTTCAGAGGGCCTAGCTGAGACACATACACGTTCCCTGATTGATGGTGGTTCTGTTTTTGTGAGCTCCTATGAGCCCTGGTTAGCTGATTCTATGGTCTGTTTTCTACAAGCTTTGCCTACTGTTTGGTTGTGCGTCTCTGCATCTGCTTGCATCAGTTGCTGGATGAAGCGCCTCTGATGAAGGTTACACTAATCTACAAGTATAGTAGAGCATATCATTAAGAATCATTCCACTGACTTTTTGTTTCTTCTTCTTTTGTCAATCACATTTGGTTCTATCCTTGAGGTCTGGCCTATCCAGTCTTTGGTTCCTGGACTGCTAAGCAATGTTAGTCATGGGCTCCCTCTCATGGCATGGATTTCAATTTGGACGAGTCACTGGTTGGCCACTCCCACATGTTCTGTGCTGCCTTTACCCCAGCTGTCTTGCAGGCAGGACCAACTGTAGGTCGAAGGAATTGTGCATGGGTTGGTGTCCTAGTTCCTCCATGGGAAACATTGTCTGGTTATAGGAGATGGCCAGTTCAGGTTCTATATCCCCCATTAGTAGGAGTCTTAGCTAGGTTCACTCTCATGGGCTAGATTTCAACCTCATCCTGGAAATGCACCTCAGTTCTAGTTGTCTCTCCCAGTACTCTCTCCCTTCACCCCCATACCTAATCCATCCTGTTCCTATCCCCACCTGTCTCCAGTCCATCCACAAAATATATTGTTTCCCCTTCCCTGTATGTTCCATGCTAGCCCCATTGAGCCGCCCTCTTTGTCACTAGGCTTCTCTGGGTCGATGGCTTATAGCATGATTATCTGTTACTTTACAGTTATTATCCACTTATAAGTGAATACATTCCACGCTTGTCTTTCTGGGTCTGGGTTACCTCACTCAGGATAATTTTTTCTAGTTCCATCCATTTGCCTGCAAATTTCATGTTTTTTTTAAACTTATAAGTAATTCTCCATTGTGTAAATGTACCACTTTTTTTCTTTATTCATTCTTTGGTTGAGAGACATCTAGGTTTTTCCCATATTATGGCTATTATGAATAAAGCTGCTATGAACATAATTGAGCAAGTGTCCCTGTGAAGGGATGGAGCATCCTTTGGGTATATGCCAGGAGTGGTATAGCTGAGCCTTGAGGTAGATCAAGTTCCAATTTTCTGAGGAATCTCCATATTGATTTCCATAATAGCTGTGCAAGTCTACACTCTCCCCAGAAGAGAAAAAGTGTTATGCTGACTCCACAGTCTTACCAGCATGAGGCCCCTTGTGGTTTTCATCTTGGTCATTCTGACAAGTGTAAGTTGGACTCTCAGAGTAATTTTGATTTGCACTTCCCTGATGGCTAAGGATACTGAGTGTTTCTTTAAGCATTTTCAGCCATTTGAGATTCTTTTGTTAAGAATTTCCTGTTTATATCTGTACCTCATTTTTTTTGAGACAGAATTTCTCTGTGTAGCATTGGCTGTCCTGAGACTCAGTCTGGAGACCAGATTGGCCTTGAACTCATAGAGATTCACCTGTCTCTGCCTCCCAAGTGCTGAGATTAATGGCATGAACCACTGTCCAACTATACCTTGCTTTTAAATGGATTTTGGTTTGTTGATGTCTACTTTCTTGAGTTGTTTACATATTTTGGATATTAGCCCTTTGTCAAATGTGGAGTTGGTGAAAATATTTTTCCATTCTGTAGGCTGTCATTTTGTCCAGTTGGCAGTGTCTTTTGCTTTACAGAAGCTTTTCAGTTTCGTGAAGTCCCGTTTATAAATTGTCAGCTACTGGCTGAGCTATTGGTGTTTTGTTCAGGAAGTTGTCTCCTGTGCCAATGAATTCAAGGCTATTCCCACTTTCTAGTCTATCAAGTTCAATTTTTTCTGGCTTTATGTTCAGGTTTTTGATCCACTTGGACATGAGTTTTATGTAGGATGGTAGATATGGATATATTTGCAGTCTTCTACATGCTGACATTCAGTCGACTAGCACCATTTGTTAGAGATTTTTTTGGTTTCCATTGTATATTTCTGGTTTCTTTGTCAAAAATCAGGTGTCCATAGGTGTAAGGATTCATGTCTGAGTCTTTGATTTTGATTCCATCGATCAACCTATTAACCAATACCATGTGACTTTTATTACTATAGTTCTGTAGTTCAGCTTGAAATTGGCAATGATGATGTTTACAGAAGTTCTTTTGTTGTACAGCAGTGTTTTAGCTATTGTGTTTTTTCCCAAGATTTTTTCAGTATTGTTCTTTCAATGCCTGTAAAAATTGTATTGGAATTTTGATGGGGATTGCATTGAATCTGTGGATTGTTTTGGGTAAGATGACCATTTTTACTGTGTTAATCCTACCAATCTATGATCATGGTTTATCATTACATCTTCTGGTATGTTCTTCATTTTCTTTCTTCAAAGATTTGAAGTTCTTGTCATGCAGGTCTTTCACTTTCTTGGTTAGATTTTTCATAAGATATTTTATATTATTTGTCTCTATTGGGAAGGATGTTGTTGCCCTGATTTCTTTTTCAAGTTTCTATAAAACTTTTTTAGTACTTGCTTGCAAATTTCTATCAAGAATGTGGTTGACTCTTGACAGGAATTGTATTGAATCTATTGATCAATATAGGGGCAGATGACATTTTTTGATAACTTTGAATCTTCTAAGTCAGTGCTGTGTATGCCTATTAATTTTCCTGTTTCTCAAAGCAACATTCTGGAGTTTTCTAAATAGTGGACTTCTCTGTGTTCTGTTAAATTTATTGCTAGGTATTTTAGAATTTTTGTGCTTCTGCAAAATGTATTGATTAAAACTTTTTTTTTTACCTCTTGTGTTTGTTGCTACTGTAAACAAACAGAATTGCTTTTAAAAAGTGTCATCGTCAATTCTAGGACTTCATTGAATTTATATAGTAGATTTAATAGTTTTTTTCATTAGAATCACTTGAACTTTCTAGGCATATATTTATTTCATTTGCAAGTATTGTTTCTCAATCTTCATGTATTCTATTTAACTTTTGTACTTAATAGTGAATGCTAGCACAGTATTAAATAGAAATTCTGAGACCAGATATACTTAATCTTCATCTCTTACTTAAGAGATGATATATTTTTTTAAAACCACTGAGCTTGACAAAAAAGGTTTTGTGTAGAAACTGATCAGATGGAAGCTCTTTCTTTAACTTCTAGTTTTCTGATGAATTTTTCAAACCAAGAAGTAGAATTGGATTTTGGGTAAATATTTTAATGTTTATTGAGATAGCTATATATCTTTTCCTTTATTGCTTCTCCCTTTTCCAATATATGAAACTCTTAAGTATCTTTTTGGGCTGACTGACTGTATTTTGTTATCTAATTCCACGTATTTATTATATATGTGGGTTTTAGACTGTAGCTTTACCTCAATGCTTTTGTCAAGCTGTTTTTAGTTTCTCACAGGTTCTAAAGCAAGCTGAAAAGTGTTTTCCCCCCCTTAAAATTTCAAAAGTATATGGAAATGTTTTTCTCTATTGATTAATCAAATTTACCAGTATGGACAACCAAGCAAGATATTTTAAATTATGTATTAATTCTTTGACACATGTATCATTGTGCAGGGTATCTATTACCTCTTGCTTTAGTTCGTTATATTCTTCATTTAAGGGTATTTGTCCAGGGAATTTTCTTAGGAGACTGAACCCAGGACCTCACACATGGGCTTCTCGTTCCCTACCCCTGTTATATTATTAACATTAAATGTGCACTGATTGTCTGCTTTCATTCCTTATATTGGAAATATGTGCTTGATGTTCCTTTTTCTCTTCTATTAGGGTTGTTAAGCACTGTCCTGGAACTTACTATGTAGACAAGGTTGACTTTGAACTCTGCCTCCTGAGTGCTTGGTTTAAAATCTTGTGCTACCAGTCTGACTTTTAAATGTCTACTTAAAGTTTTAGTTGGTATATAATAATTGCACATATTTATGGTAATTCAGGACACATGGACAACCAGAAAGGGGCTCTTGGCATTCACAGCTCCTTGTATATTTACTATTTCTTAGCGTTAGGAGTTTTTATATTCTTGCCTTGTAGCACTTCAGTGTGTATAATGAACAATATAAACTGTAGTCACCCTGCTGCTCTATAGAGGAATAAGTCATAGTCTTCCTATCTAGCTGTCTTTTGACATCTGTTATCCAACCTACCATAGTCCTTCCCAATCATCCTTTTTATCAATCATATCCTGCTGTATTATTTGGAGTCAATGCTTTTACATTCAGCCTACAGTAGAGAATATTCAATATTTGAATTTTGTGCCCATTTTACTTCCCTTAACATACGTTTTTCCAGTTCTGCTCATTTGATACAAATGGCAAGACTGCATTCTTTTTGATGCCTGAGCAAATACTTCATTGTGTAAATATTCCGATGCTTCAATAAATGCTTGCTGTACATTATTATGGTTTAGAGATGAAGGATTTCCTGAGGACCTTGATAGTCAAATGATGGGATTCAGAAAGGGACTGGATCATAAGAGTTCTAATGCTACGAGTATATTACTGTACTTATGCAGTCATAAGTTAATGACATTTTGGGAGGTGGTGGAGAGTAGGTACTTACTTAGAGGAAGCAGTTCATTATGGGTATGTCCCAGAAGGGTATATCTTGTCTCTGTTCATTTCATTCTTTCTTTGCTTTGTGGCCACCAGGATGTGAGCAGGTTTCCTTGACTGACTGCATTTTTCACAATGATGCTATATCCTCTCCACAGACTGAATGCAAACTGACCAGCACATAAGTTAGAGAAGGCTTAGTTGATCTCATGGCTTTAGATGTGTGTCAGTCCATGATCAGGTGTATTCACTGTTTGGGGGGCGGTAAGTCATCACAGGAACTGTTGCAGAGCAAAACATATTCTTTGGCCAGAATGCAAATAGTGAAAACCGGGAACTGAAATCCCACTCCTTTAAGTTCACTTGAAGACGTCAATGATCTAAGATTTCCCTATGTAGCTCCTCTGGAAGGTTCTACCAATTTTCAATAATGCAATGGACCTTTAACAAAGAGACCTGGGTGGGAGATTTAGCAAAAGCATGACTGTTTACAAGCCGCCTTTCTCCACTCATTTGGTCTCTAGTTTTGCTATTCTTCAAGCTACAATGAAGTATTACTTTAGCAGCTTTAGTGGGGCTGCAAATTTATAATATTGGCCTTTTATATATTATGAGAGCTTTTTGAAAGAATGAGTATGCATGTGTGCACACACACACATGCATGTTGCTCTTAGAGACACAAAGTTTGCCTTCTGATCTTGATTGGAAGTCTTACTGTTTTTAAAGCTATAAGCTAGAGATAATAATATCTTCTCTATAGACTTATTGCTAGCCTTAAATAGCATAAGGCATGTAGAGTGCTTGGAAAGATGCCTAGCATATAAAAAGTCTCATTAACTATCACAGAGCACTTCCCTGTGAAATAGAGTCACTCACTCCAGTACTGCAAAATAGCAGAAAACAAAAGCACGAAAGATAAACATTGCTTCCGGTCCTGAAAACAGTTTTTGTGGTGGTTAATTTTGAGACAGCCTCTTTGTGAGGGTATGTAAAGTACGGGACGGTGCTGAGTTCTTTCTTGCTTTGTCCTGTTAACGAATGAATGGAAAAATATTACCACTGGGGATTGTAGAGTTCTATCCCCTGAGTACTGCAGAATGTCTTCACCAGAGCAGATGTGACTGATTGTAAGAGACCCCCTATGTATGTTAATGTTGTCTCATAAAAGGAGTAATGGGGAGGGTTATTCATTTTCACTTGAATGTTCAGCTGGTTCCTCCTGGACCTCCCAGCCACCTGTATGTGTTTCTGCACTAATGGCACAGGACAGTCATACGGTCTCAGGGGTGCCAGAATATTTAGAGGGTAGAAGGTGGCCTGAAATGGGGTGGCCATCAGTGCAGCTGTGATGAAGTCATCACAACACACGCTAGGGTGAGGCTTTTCAGGGCTGTGATCATCTGTGCTTCTCTAAGTAAATTCTTACCAGTGCTCTGTAAGCAGTAAACAGACTCACAGCTTTGCCAAGTTATTCATCAGTGGAATTGTTCTTTGTGGGGGGTGGAGGAAGCCCTGCATGAAAGTATGAGTGGATGATGTACTGAGTGAACATGTGTTATTGGCGTAAGCACGGCCTTATTAAGTGCCCCAGTGCCTCAGATCTATGGCAATGGCCAAACCTTCGCCTGGTCAGGTCCAGAGAATTGGGAAAGCCTTCCTCTGTTCCACTTACAAGTGTTTAGGGATGACTGATAGTGTGTGCAGAAATCATCAACCACAGTTTCCTCATGTGGACAGCTGCAGCCTGAGGCTGCCCCTACAGAGACTCCCACAAAGAACAGGTAAACCCGTTTCCTCCTTCAGCTGTGTACAAGGACCCTGCCTTTCATTCAGATGAATAAAACAGATGTAAGGAATATAGGGGTTGCTGTAGCAGCAACTGGTACTCTCTAATACAGTGAACACAGCTCACCCAATGTCAGCATTTTTTAAAACATATGTCTGTGTGTCTGTCCTTTCTTCATTCCCTGTTGTTGCCCTAGTTAGGTCAGTCTCTGAAGTTATGAAGAGCATGGCATATGGGATTTGCCAAAGTGGGCATCTGGGCACCCTGAGATTTCTCTTATAGTTCATTGTACTTCTTTGGATCCCTGCACACTCCCTGAGGTGTTTCAGTGGACACTGTGTCTGTTACCAGTATGTATTGTATGTTCCAAATGAGGGCCAGTTACTGACTTTGTTGGGAGTGGACAAGGTTGTTTCCATTTACCCAACTTGGATCATCCTCATTTCCCATCTAACACTTTGTGTTAGAGAAGAGGTGGTCTGAGATACTGGAACAGTGTGTACTTTTAAAAAATGACTTCAAACCTTGAGCAGTGTATACTGCATCTTCCACCTCAGCCACATGTAGCTAGACCTCTTTGATGTGACACCTACAGAGTTGAGACATTTGAGGAAAGACTTCCTTTTTACAATTTTATGGTCATTGTACTGGTATGAGCTTCCAGATGGGCCTCTTGTGTGTGCATATGCTTCTATTTGAAATGTGTGTTTTATATTATTTTTTCTACCTGTGGTTCAACACTGCTTTTGTAGATGTGTTGCTTGTCAGTTCTGACCTGTGTCTGCTGACGACATCTCCCTTCTCCAGCAATGATTTCCTATGATGGTCATCTGCAAAGAGGTGATATGGGGTTTCTTTATTTATCTCACTGGATTAATTTTAGTAGCTGATAGTAGGCTGCCTCTCAGCAATTAAGTTGTGTTAACAGATACAATGACTGTAGTATCTGTAGCAGTATTTCATATTTACTATGCCTGGGGCTTGAGAATAAGAAAGATAATATGAAATGAGTTCTCCAGAACTGGCAGAGACTCTGTACTGTAGACAAAAACCCAGTACAAAAGCTCTTGAGAACTTAGAAATAAGTGGAAGGGAAAACTATCGGGTAGAATAGCTGAAACAAAAAAAACCCCAGATAATTCCTTTTAGGAGTAAAATGAAAATGAAGTAATATCACCACAAGTGCATCTTCTAAACACAGATCATCTTTGGAACAGTGAGTATTGACATGGAGGATAGTCAGAGTTCTGCAGTCACTTTTTAAAACAAGGCTTTATTTTATTTCTCCTGGAACAAACTTCTGTCCCTTAATAACACTATTTCCAAAACATAAGTTTAGGAAAAACTTGCTCTTGATTAATGTGTTTATATACTTGGCAAATGTCCTCCAAGAGGTGAAGACACTGTTGTTATTGGCCCAGGGAACATCTTCTAAAGCCTAACGTTTTAAAGTCTTAGCAAATGGATGCTGTAAAGAAGACTGAACATGACCTGGAAGACTAAGGAACCATTCACCATCCTCTGACCTCAAGTTAAAATAATACCCGGCTAACTTAAGCAACAGTTTCCTAGTCAGTTCTGTCAGCTTTCTGAATGATGACAGACATTTCTATCTGTTCATACTATTGCTTCTTGGTGAAGAATAAGTGTCAGTTTGTACAAAACTGGCTTCAAAGCTCCGTTGTGTGAAGCTATGAGGTCATGATTACACATCTATGTAGTTCATGTTGATGACTTTGAAAGATTAGCAGGGAGAGAGAAAGCAGTGGGAAAAAAAACCCCAGATGTTCTGAGAACCGCAGGCTGCTTCAGAAGGTCGCCCTTGGCCCTTTGGGGTTGATGTGTAGAACCAGGAAATGGCAAAATTACAGGCTGTTCATAGTGTGCTTAAGATTTAAGTCTGAAATGAGTGAAGAAACATCAAAGAGGAGTATAAAAGAGGGTGGGGGGAATTATTGAAAAAGAACAGGAATGGACTCTGGAAGTGTGAGCTGTAGTCCCTGCTGTTCACAGCATGGACCCTTAGAGTGACAGAACTAAAACATTTAAAGGGAAGTGTGCTCTCTGATAACAGCAAATAGTGGTTCTGGAAAATTGGGATTTACAGTGTTATAAGAATCAAAATAAAACATTAGACTGATAGTGATTTGGGAGTTCTAATGGACCCTTGGTGAAAATTGTTTCCTGAGAATGGAAGTCGGTGCAGAGCAGGCTTGGAAGCTAATTACAGCAGGACAGGGAACCGGACTCAGAGCCTGAATATTCAGGTTGGGATTAAAGCCTGCCTAATTTCTAACTATGCATTCACCTTAGAAAAGCTTACTAGCCGTCCGGGCGGTGGTGGCGCACGCCTTTACTCCCAGCACTCGGGAGGCAGAGGCAGGAGGATCTCTGTGAGTTCGAGGTCGGGCTGGACCGATAGCCTCCAAAACAATACAGAGAAACCCTGTCTCGTAAAAACCAAAAAAAAAAAAAAAAAAAAAAAAGCTTACTAGCATATTAGAGTCTTAGTTTCTCCAAGCACAAATGTGATGTCTTTCACACCTTTCAAGGTTGCTAATAAAGTTGACTCTTACCTCAATTAGGAATAATGGCTGCCCGACTCTGGCAACGTTTTATTCTCTCCTGCTGATGTGATCATTTCCTCTTGAATTCATGATGCACACCATGACCCGCTGTGATAATAACTTCTTCACATGTGCTCAACACCTCTTTTCTTGTTCTTCAAATGCGTTTGGCAGACCCAGTGTCTGCCACCCCCATTCTCCACATGAGTTGCACCTGTATGCATGAATCAGAACATAGCTGAAAGACAAAAGTTAGAGGAGCAGACCCACAACCAGTGTTTCCATTGTTGGAGCCTTGAAGTCTCCCTTGGTCCCTCCTTGTTCCCTTCGTCTCCCATCCTAAAGGTCAGTTTCTGAAGAGGATAGTTGTAGGTTTATGATAGTGTAAACCTTTGATTCTGCTTCATTTTTTCTCTCTGTCTCTCTCTCCACTGTGGGTATATGTTTATGCGTGTGTATGTGTGCACAATTTTCTATGCATTTATTATTTATTTCTTTGAGGATATCCTATAGGTTTTGTCTGTTAAAAATTTATAAGTATTTTTAAAAATCTTTGTTCTGAGTTCATACTGTTCTGTGGGAGGGATTTTTCGTGGGACACAGACCTTAAGTGTGTAATTCTGCTTTCTGTCACTAGACAAGAGGTCTGAAATAACTTGAAATAATTAACTTCAAAAGAGGGGAAGTTTACATTGATTAACAGTGTAGAAATTTCTCTTCATGGTGAGTTTGTCTATTGCTTTTCAGCCTGTGGTAAAGCAATATATTATGATAGGACCATGTGGCAGGGAAGTCCTGTTCACCATGGTGTAGTGATTCACTCCTGTAACCCCAGAATTTGGAGGATGATGGGAATAACCATGAATTCAAGGCCATCTGGGGTTGTGAGGCAAGATCTATTGTAAATAAACACATATTGCCACATATGTTTATTCTGAATCAATACTGAAGTCAGTTAAAATTCAGCAAGTTACACACAGACTAACACATCATCTGTCCCCCCCCCCCCCGGTGAACCTTATTGTATCAAAGCCACTACAGTCCTAGGGAGTGCACACAATTGATTACATTTACTTTTATATTTTATGAAGAGTACAGTTAGTTTCTCTTAGCTTAGAAATAAAAGGATTAGATATTATCAGAGGAACCGAATATGTAGGTAGAGCAGGGGGGCATGGAGGGCATTTTCAGGGCCACATTACATTTGGAGAGAGCATTTCACCATACAGTTGGTAAGGTGTTTAGCAGATTGGCTAGTAAACTTCTTACACTAAATTTATAAGTACACCTTTTGATCAGTATATTTTAAAGATTATTTTAGAAATACTGGCTATAGAAGCATTTCATATGAGAACAAACACACTTACCTGCTAATCAGGTAACCCTGATGACACCAGAGACAATATTCATAGACATATTCCTGCAAGCCTGTGCCAGTTTCAAACATACAAAACTGTGGGGTGGTTGGGTTGAGACTGGTCAGAAAGTTTGAAAGATTTCATGATTCTTTTTGTAGCATCTAGGAAGTGGAAGCAACCTAGGTGTTTACCAACTGATGAGTGGACAAGGGAGACATGGTATATTTATACAGTGGAATGCTATCCAGCTGTTAAGAAAAATGAAATTATGAAGTCTTCACCTGAATGGATTAAACTGGGAACAATCATTCAGTATGGGGTAGCTCTGATCACGAAAAGATGTTTTCTCTCATTTGTGGAGGTCAGCTTTAAGTCTTCAGATAAGGCTTCCTTTAAAATAGCCATAGAACAATGAAAGAGATACCTTAACAGAGAGAGTCATAATGGGGTTGGGGGAAACCTGGTGCTAGGTAACTCCCAAGAATCCACAAGGAGGACCCCAGCTAAGACTCCTAGCAATAGTGGAGTGGATTTCCGAACTGCCCTACCCCTGTTACCATATTGGTGAATACCCCAACTGTCTTCATAGAGCCTTCATTCAGTAATTGATGAAACCAGATGCAGAGTTCCACAGCCAATAACCAGGCTGAGCTCCAGGAATCCAGTCAAAGAGAGGGAGGAGGGAATCTATGAGCAAGGGAGGTCAAGATCATGATGGGGCAATCTACAGAGACAGCTGAACCAAGCTCATACAACCTAGTGAACTCTAGACCAACAGCTGTGGAGGCTCCAGGGGACCGAACTAGGCCTTCCATGTGTGGGAGACCATTGTGGATCTTGGACTGTCAGAGGGGCCTCTGGCAGTAGGACCACGACACAAACCTGGTACATGTGGTGGGATGCCACGCTGAACCTTAATGTATGGGAGAGAGGCCTGACCTTGCCCCAGCCTATTGTGTCAGACTTTGTTGACTACTCATGAGAGCCATTACCTGTGAGGAGGAGTGGACTGGGGATTGGAGGAAGAACTGTGGTTGGAAAGTAAAATGATATCTAAAGGAATAAATAAATCATTAAAACAATTCCCATAGAGAACAAGGAATCAGTAAGGGGCCCTTGGGGTGTTGTTAGGGTGGGAAGGCAGAGTGTGGTGGTATATATCAATGATATTCGATGCCATATGGAAAACAATATATTTATTTACCAGAGAGAGAGAGAGAGGGTCGCACAAACCAGGAATTAGAAGTGTGGCTGGCTTCCAGGAGAAAAGGGGGCTTCCTTTTCCTTTCACTTCCTTTTATATCTACCTGTGTCAGTTTACATGTCCCTGCCCTCATGGGCAGATAGCTTTGTGGGGTTCACTCCTACAGGTATAAAGAGCTAATGGGGAATAATGGAACATGATTGGATACATTGTGGTGGGATGAGGGGACAGGGTAGAAGAGGGACTACACAGAAGGATAACCAATTCTAGAGACCTTCAGAGAAAGTTGTATGGAAACCCACTGCTATAAAAACTTCCTAAGATATACATGTACACATGCAGAGAAAGGGTTGAAATGGGACTGAATAAGTACATGAGATGTGGTATAGACCCTCGCATTTCCCCATATGAGGTGTGTGAGTCCAGTTGCAGGTGATTACATGAACATATGGGCCATACACCATGATTTCTATATACATTATCTTTATAAAATATACAGATTGTTTTTTAGTGGAAATTCTACCTAACATCTTTGAACATGGGTTCAGTTCAGTGTTTAGCTGTGGGTGTTTGCCTCTTCTTCCATCAGTCACTGGATGAAGGCTCCAGGATGGTTATAGACATCAAGTTCATTATCAGGAATGGGCATTCGAGGTGGTCTCTCCACTATTGCTTAGCTTTCCAGTTGGTGTCATCCCTTTAGAACACTAGAGGTCACACTGGTGCCTGATCGGTCTTCTAACCTATGATTCCCTCTTCCCCCTATTCTACCCTCCACTCAGCCTTCCTGTTCCCCCATAACCTACTCTCTCTTCCTCTTCTCCCCCTTCTTCTTCCCAGCTCCCACTTCCCCCCACCCCTCGCCGTGTTCCCCATCTGTTCAGAGGATCTTGCCTCATTCCTCTTCTCTGGGGTTCTCTTAGGTTCTTTCCTGTTTCCCAGACTCTCTGTGAGTGCAGACTGGCACTATCCTAATCCATGTTTTAAATCCATATATGAGAGAGTACATACCATATTTGTCTTTTTGCGACTGGGTTACCTCACTCAGGATGGTTTCTTCTAGTGCCATCCATTTACCTGCGAATTTCAAGATTCCATTGTTTTTTTCTGCTGAGTAATACTCCATTGTGTAAATGTACCACATTTTCTCTATCCACTCTTCAGGGGCATCTAGGTTGCTTCCAGGTTCTGGCTATTACAAATAATGCTTCTATGAACATAGTGGAGCAGATGCCCTTGTTGTATGAATTTGCCTCTTTTGGATATATGCCTAAGAGTGGAATTTCTGGGTCTTGTGGTCGATTGATTCCCATTTTCCTGAGGAATCTCCATACTGATTTCCAAAGTGGCTGTACAAGTTGGCACTCCCACTAGCAGTGGAGGAGTGTTCCTCTCTCTCCACATCCTCTCCAGCATAAATTGTCTTTGGTGTTTTTGATTTTAACCATTCTGACAGGAGTAAGATGGTATCTCAAAGTTGTTTTGATTTGCATTTCCCTGATGACTAAGGATGTTGAGCACATTTTTAAGTGTCTCTCAGCCATTTTAGACTTCTCTATTGAGAATTCTCTATTTAGTTCTGTACCCCAGCTTTTAATTGGATCCTTTGGTGTTTTGGAGACTTGCTTCTTGAGTTCTTTCTACATTTTCGAGATTAGCCCTCTGTCAGATGTGGGGTTAGTGAATATCTTTTCCCATTCTGTGGACTGCCTTTTTGTCTTGTTGACTGTGTCCTTTGCCTTATGGAAGCGTTTTAGCTTCAGAAGGTCCCATTTGTTAATTGTCGATCTCAGTGTCTGTGCCACTGGTGTTATGTTCAGGAAATGGTCTCCTGTACCAACGTGTTGAAGAGTATCTCCCACTTTCTCTTCTAAGAGTTTCATTGTGGTTGGATTTATGTTGAGATCTTTAATCCATTTGGACTTAAGTTTTGTACAAGGTGATAAACATGGATCTATCTGCAGTCTTCTGCATAGCAATACCCAGTTATGCCAGCACCATTTGTTGAAGATGCTTGTATAGTTTTAGCTTCTTTGTCAAAAATCAAGTGTTCATAGGTGTGTGGGTTAAAATCAGGGTTTTCGATTCGGTTCCATTGGTCTACCTGCCTATTTTTGTGCTAATACCAAGCTGTTTTCAGGACTATAGCTCTATAATAGAGCTTGAAATCAGGTATGGTGATGCTTCCTGAAGTTCCTTTATTGTATAGGGTTGTTTTAGCTATCCTAGGCCTTTTGTTTTTTCATATAAAGTTGATTAATGTTCTTTCAAGGTTTGTGAAGAATTTTGTGGGAATTTTGATAGGGATTGCATTGAATCTGTAGACTGCTTTTGGCAAGATTGCCATTTTTATTATGTTGATCCTACTAATGCAAGAGCATGGGAGATCTTTCCATTTTCTGGTATCCTCTTTGATTTCTTTCTTTAAAGACTCAAAGTTCTTGATATACAGGTCTTTCACTTCCTTGGTTAACATTATCCCCAGATATTTGGTGCTGTTTATGGCTATTGTAAAGGGTGATGTTTCTCTGATTTCCTTCGCAACCACTTCATCATCTGTATATAATAGGGCCACTGATTTTTTTGCATTTAACTTGTATCTTGCCACTTTGCTGACAGTGTTTATCAGCTCTAGGAGTTCCGTTGCGGAGTTTTTAGGGTCACTTATGTAAACTATCATATCATCTGCAAATTGTGAAAGCTTGACTTCTTCTATTCCTGTTTGTATTCCCTTGATCTCCTTTTGTTGTCTTATTGCTGTAGCTAGAACTTCAAGTACAATGTTGAAGAGATATGGAGAGAGTGGACAGCCTTGTCTTGTTCCTGATTTTAGAGGAATTGCATTGAGTTTCTCTCCATTTAGTTTGATGTTAGCTGTCTGTTTACTGTATATTGCTTTTATTATGTTCAGGTATGTTCCTGTTATCCCTGATCTCTCTAGGACCTTTATCATGAAGGGATGTTGGATTTTGTCAAAGGCTTTTTCAGCATCTAGTGAGATGATCACGTGGTTTTTCTTTCGCAATTTGTTTATATTGTGGATTACATTGATAGATTTTCTAATGTTGAACCATCCCTGCAATCCTGGGATGAAGCCTACTTGATCATGGTTGATGATTTTTCTAATGTGTTCTTGAATCTGGGTTGCTATTATTTTATTGAGTATTTTTGCATCGATGTTCATGAGGGAAATTGGTCTATAATTCTCTTTCTTAGTTGTGTCTTCGGTATCAAGGTAATTGTAGCCTCGTAAAAAGAGTTTGGCAGTGAGCCTCCTGCTTCTATTGTGTGGAATACTTTGAGGAGTATTGGAATTAGCTCTTCGTTGAATTTCTGGTAGAATTCTGCACTGATGCCATCTGGGCCTGGGCTGTTTTTGGTTGGGAGACTTTTGATGACTGCTTCTGTTTCATTAAGGGTTATAGGTCTGTTTAGATTGTTTATCTGTCCTTGATTTAGTTTTGGCAAGTGATATCTATCCAGGATATTGTCCATTTCCTTTACATTTTTGAATTTTGTGGAGTACAGCTTTTCAAAGTATGCCCTGATGATTCTCTGGATTTTCTCATTGTCCCTTGTTATGTCCTCCTTTTCATTTCTGATTTTGTTGATTAACATGCTCTTTCTCTGTCTTTTGGTTAGTTTGGACAGAGGTTTGTCTATTTTGTTGATTTTCTCAAAGAACCAACTCTTTGTTTCATTCATTCTTCTCAATATTTTCCTGGTTTCTACTTGATTGATTTCAGCCCTCATTTTGATTATTTCCTGGCGTCTGCTCCTCCTAGGTGAGTTTGCTTCTTTTTTTTTTCTAGATCATTCAGCTGTGCTATTCTATTAATTCTCTAGTGTGACTGTTGTCCAGTTTCTTCATGTGGGCACTTAGTGCTATTAACTTTCCTCTCAGCACTGCTTTCAGAGTGTCCCGTAAGTTTGGATATGTTGTATCTTCATTTTCATTGAATTCCAGGAAGTCGTTAATTTCTTTTTTTTATTTCTTCCTTTATCCAGGGATGGTGCAATTGTGCATTATTTAATTTCCATGAGTTTGTAGGGTTTCTGTGATTTGTGTTATTCTGAATTCTAATTTTAATGTATAAGATACAGGGGTTATTCCAATTTTTTTGTATTTGTGGAGATTTGCTATGTTTCCTATTATGTGGTCAATTTTAGAGAAA